TTACGTCATTATTATCTATATTATTTTTAAAAATAAGTTTGGAATGCGAAATATTTGATTTTTTTTTTTTTAAAAAGAATCAAGTAGTTGTGATTATGAATTATGATGGCCATGACAGAGTAGTCATTTGTCGTTCTTTAAATCCCTACATCATTTTCTTAATAGTTCGTGTTTCATATTCAAGGTTGAGCATGGCATATGAGTCGATAAATATCATGTTAAATCCTTTGTCATACAAAAATAAAATGGTACCTTACTTTTTTAATGAAACGATAGCAAATTGGAAATTGTCTTTGATGATGGATGCCAAAAGCTCCCCACAAAAAAAAAATATCAAGCTACAGTTTTATTTGGAGCTACATGCGAAGTTGCAATCATCTACTCTAATCCTTAAATAAGTAATTATATGTACAAGAAGTTTCCTCATGTTGTATAGATGAATGAGAGTAGTGTTTGACAAAAGAACAGTAATGACAATTGATATTGGTCCCTATTTAAAAACTTATAGGTTGCGATTTGGCGACTTGCGTATTAGATTAAGCTCAATAATACAAAAAGATACCCGTCATAATGTCATATTATTGATATGTGTTTCACGCTCAATAATATTATTAGAGTTTAATAATGATATATCGTGTTGAAACTTGTCTTATAAATTTTTGCGCAATTCTAATTCATACTTAAATTCACTGTATTGTTATTCATATATTAACCCGAGAAATTGCTCGGGACGCTAAAATAAATCCCATGACAACAAACTCACCATCACTAGGATGAAGTCTCTTCATCAACAACCATTAAATGAACATAACATTTACAATGAATGTTAGAAATGAAATCACATGTGGTGGGACTGAGTTAGGGTTAATCACAGGAAAGATTATGTAGTGAGTCTGGAGTACTGGCAGTACTGTAGTAGTGAGCATATGTCAGAATTAGGGTGACATAAAGCCAAAAAAATGACAATTACAGTTCAAAGCCCTACAAATTTATGAAAGCTCACACAAGATTCCTTCAGCACACAACTTTTTTGAAAGCTTAGAGTAAGCTCTGGACTACATTTGTCTCCCAATCTTCACATCTTTTGTTCCTATTTGTTAACTGGGAAATTGAATTTAATGCTCACTTCTTTTTGGGTAAATTTCTTAGAAATCACCTCCAACTCTTACAAAAAATACTTGCACTTTTTGTTTCATGCAAGGAAAGGGAGTTTGTCTAGCTAAGGTGCTCTATTTACCTTAAATCCACTTAATATCGCATAAAATATACTACATATTACCTCCGTTTTATATTATTTTCAACGATTTGACATAAAGTAGAAAGGAAAAATGTCTAATCGTTGCAAATAATATGAAGCGGAGGTAGTATGTTTAATGAGTTTAGATAAGAAAAAATCAGTACAAGTATAAAGGTTGATAAAAACTACTCAACTAAATTTACGGCTACATAAGTTCTACTCTGTACTTTGTAATATAAGTTCATACAAATAAATTTTATATTATCTTTTGATATTAAGAATTTTATCAAAATATATAACTAATTTTAGCACATAAAATATATTTATAAAAAAATTATTTTAAAAAATTCAAATAAACCTTGCATCACATAGGTTTCATCTAGTTAGATCAATTTTAGAGGTATTAAGTTTGGCTCCTAACAATTTTTTTTTCTTTTTAGTTTTTATGTAATTTATCTCCTCACAATTATTTTCAATATTATATGTGTGCACAAGATAATAATACATATATTATGTTTGGCCCCTCTGGCTCTATCCCTGCATATAACCCATGTTATACTAACAAGAGTAACTCACATAACAATGACAAAATAGTTTCTATAATGCTAACCGAGTAACTTCTTATTCATTTGTATAATCTTCTTCTCATTTTCTATCAAATTATCAAAGTTTTACCTCTTATTGAATAACCCTTGGAACAACAAATTAACACCCTTATATTATTAAGTAAGCCCTATAACCCTAAGTCAATAGAGTAACCTCAAGAATCATGAAGAATGGCCAGCCACATAACCCAAATCAGAGGTAAAACTTTGATAATTTGATAGAAAATGAGAAGAAGATTATACAAATGAATGAAGTACTTTCCCTTCAAAAAATAAAAAATGAATGAAGAGTAATAAATGACCGACATGGATGTCATTTCAATGATGTTTATAAATACGGAAGAATAATTGGGCATCTGGTTTTTTTAGCTCGTACGACTTAAGGCGGTAGGCCCAATTAATGTACGGTATGGATCTAAGTTTAATACTCTTTAATTAAGGGCCCAGCCCAAATAAGGGATTGTTATTAAAGTTACTATTATTTTTTTTTTTTAAAAAAAAAATTATTTATTTAGAATTAATTCATCTGTACTGCTCGTCTTGCCACATCATGTAGCCAGTTGTGAATGAATAAAGTGACTCCTATAATATTGTATGCGTTTTTGGGGCTTGCCCCTCGTTTCCAAATAATAATAATAATAATAATAATAATAATATATGTGTGATTCCTATAATACTAATTGAGTATCCCCTATAACACTCGCCGAGTAACCCCCTATAATACTGACAAATTAACTCCTGTAAAACTGATCGAGTAACCTCAATAACAGTAACGAAGTAACTCTCATTATGGTTGGCCATACAGTGTAGCCAACTACATACGAAGTATAAGAATTTGTGTATAACAGTTTTTATTTTTTTAAAATGCATTATTTTGATATTAAATGTTGTTGATGTAATACAAGTAATTAATTAATTCATTGATATATATTTAGACAATAAATTTCAGTAATGATTAAGTGGGCCCATTGGCGACCAAAAGCCCAAGCAGACATATAACCACCTAATGGGTCATGTTTTGGGCTTGCCAATTGAGCATGCTGAGATGACTGGTATTGTGGTGTACACAAAATGCTGGTTTAGTTGGAACCAAATAAAGGGGCCGTGAGCAATTTCTAATAATTGCCTATTCAACTTCTTATTTGGTTGGAATAAAATGGAAAAATTAAAAATTCATTCAAACCTGTCCCTCATTTACCTTTTCTATAGTAAGTCACAAATCCTTTATTTTTTGCAAAACATAGTAAGTCACAATTCTCATATCAAGTAAAGGATTAAAAGGTTGAAAAATGGTTTTCGAACATGAAGTATTAAATTTGAATAATCTAATGAGTCTGTAGGTCATCAAGTGTACATACCTAGCATATTCAATTCCTGTCAAAAAAAAAAAAAAAAAAACTTCGAAAGTAATTTTTAGGAAATTTTGACAATTACCACCTTCTGTTATGTCCATTTTAGCAATTACCACCTTCCATTTTTTTTTTTGAAAATTACCACCGTCTATTTTCAAAAACATCAAAAGTTACCACCTTCTTGCCTCCCAACTACCGCATGACGTCATTTTGGGCTTATCCTTTCCCTTTCCTACCTATTTCCCTCACATTTATCATTCCTAACTCGATTCTCATCCCCCCTTTCACATTTCTAATCTTATTATCTTTTACGTCTCTTACACCATTAGCTACTCACCTTCCACCACTAAACCTAACCTTCCCCCACTGAACCCAACCTCCCTCCGGCTATTACTACCACCGGCAGGCATCAACCCTTTAATGACGTGTATATAAATATTAAGTTAGGATTGAGATAAATAAAATAAAAATAAGAATAAGGAGACTACAAAAAAAAATGAACTTGAGGTGGAAAGGAATGTTTTTGAACGATCGAAATTTAGTAAGAAAGTATTGAGATAAAAAAAAATGACCAACACAAAAAGTCACCCTAGCTAGCCAAGTAGCTAATGTTAATTAAGTAGCTCAATTATATTAGGGTACAGACGTACAGTACGGTCGAATTTGGTGACGACTACAATGAAGCTTGGGGTGGAGATATCCAATAACGTACGGCGTGGGACTTAAATGATTGTTAGAAATATAAATACAAGTATGATAGATTGATAGCTATTTATTTTCATTATATCTCATATCAATTTTTATTATTATTTTTTTTACAGTTAATATCTCATATCTTTACAATGATTCTAAACCCACAAATTTTTATTTTGCTACCACTCTGGACTATTTTAATATAAATACGAATTTTTATTTTGCTACCAGGCCACTCTCAAGTCTCAACTACTAATTAAAAAAAAAAAGATAGAATTTTCTTTCCTATTTCAATTTTAGAAGATCGTGTGTTGAAGGCAATTTTTCCTAACCAGTGAAGAAACTTTTGTGTGCATCATGTTATAAGTACACCCGAATATATTTTTTTATTTATTTAATACAGTAGAGAAGGGTTTGTGCTAATGGAGGATGTTTTGAATAAAAATAGAAGCTAGATGGAAAAGTAAAAAATTGATAGTTATTCCATATTTCACCTGCATAATCAATTAGCGTGAATATCAAATAGAACTTAGCTTTAGTGGAAAAATTTGCGTCCCACATATGGTTGTGTAATTAAACTTTATCAGAGGTACTTTAGGGTGGAGATTCTCTTATTCTTCCCCCCTCTTTCAAGCCAACCCTTCACTCTTAATTAAAAAGCTTAACCTACGAATCCCAATAAATAAAGTTAACTCGTGAGATATTTAAGCGTGGCAAACCTTACTCTTATCTACGAAAAAAGGGAAGGAAAAAAAAAGTTGGAGTAGGTCAAATACATGGAAGAAACTTCAATTTAAAAAAATTGACTAAAATAGAAAAGTGGTGGAGCATTGTCTTTGTGTAACCTTTCTCCTATGGCAATATATCCATTACGCCAAAAGACAAAGCAATCCATTTACAATCCCATATTTTAAGGGAAAATATTAAAAGATTCAAATTTCCAATATCCTTACTTTCTAATTTAAGCAAATAACATGTGAAGACATTGTAATTGGACCCACCATAACAACAATAATTCAAATTATTGTATAAATTACTAATATCATCCATATGACTCCAAGAAACAAAATTTCTTCCACATTTTTCAAGATCAAAATTCAACTAGCTAAATAAAAATGGAAAGGAAAAAAAATTATCTTAAACTTTCCAACCCTAATCACAACAATTATCTCCCTAATCATTTTCTTATCATTTTTACCCCAAAATGTTAATGCCAAACCTCCTCCAAACCCAGTCCAATGTAATGGTAAAGTATGCACACTCAAAAATGGTTATGGTGTTTGGGGTGATAGAAGAGATTGCACCTCTCCAAGCATAAGCTATCCAACTACTGAAGAAGAGCTTCGATTAGCCGTCGCGAATGCTAATCGTAATAAACTCAAGGTTATTTAACATCTATACCATTTAACAGTGCCGGGGCTAAAATTGCAAATTATTTATGGGGCCTTGTTCAACTTTTTAAAATGGGGCCTTCTACTCGATCCGATGTTGAATCCGAAGAGGTTTGTGATGAAATTTTTTCAACATAAATGCCTTCTAAAATTGCAAGTTAATAAAAATCAGAAAAATGCACTTAAATTAAACAGCAGGAAATAATTCAACATACCCAGATATCAAAAAATCGTATCCGGTGTTGAATTCGAAGAGGTTTGTGATGAAATTTTTTCCAATTACTAGCTATAGCCTTTACTCACGATACTTGCAAAGAACTTTGGAATTAAGATTATCTTAAAGATTTCTTTTTTATTTGTAAAATTGAAAAAGTAAATAAAATGCATATATAGGAAAATTTGGGAGATTAATAGAGTTTTAGAAGATATAGAGTTTTTTTGGAATTAGAATAGTACATTGAAAAAAATTTGGGAAAAAAGAAATCTGAATTTTTGGGAAAAGAATTTGGGAATTAGATGGGTTTGCTGCAGTTCCCAAAAAAAATTAAAAAATTGAACCCAAGACCTTGTAGATACAACACAATTGCTCTAACCACTACACCAACTGCAATTTCATGATCTTGTACCAAACTTAATTACATATATCTAGATTTTGGGGCCCCTTAAATTTGGGGGCCCTGTTCCGTCGACCACCTAGCTCCGGCCCAGAACCGCCTATGCCATTTAATTTGCTTTCGTATAGTAATCTTAGGTCGTTATATATCTAGCTAGACTTGAAACAACGAAACTTTGTATTTTCTGTTTAATATAATTTGTTATCATTCACCTTATTTTTACTGATTTGAAATCATTTAATCAAATTTTATTGATTTGCTAGTGTTCAACTTGTAAAAAAAAAAATATTAATTTTTTTTTTTTTTAAATTGAAGTTAATGCAGGGAATCATGAATTTGTCTAATCAACAAATAAAATTCATGATTTTCTGATTTAGTATAATTTAATATATATTTACGTTTGACTTTTTAATCCACAGATATTATATGGTGCCTTTGACGTACAACATATTTGACATCACATAGTTAACAATTTAATTTTACTGCATAATATTTCCATATATTTTGAAGTTTTGAACTATATTATGTACATTTTTTTTTTAATAAAATTGTGAGATTTTTTGTAACAGGTGAAAGTGGTGACTAAATTTTCACACAGTATACCAAAATTAGCATGTCCTAGTAGCAAAACAAACAAGACAACGCTAATCAGCACAGAACGATACAATTCCCATATCGAAATCGATACGAAAAACATGGTCGTAACAGTCGATGCAGGGGTGAGTCTAAGAGACTTGATCAACAAGGTGGAGGGTGCCGCGTTGAGTTTAGTCGCGGCACCCTACTGGGAAGGGGTGACCGTGGGTGGCCTAATAAGTACCGGAGCCCACGGGAGCTCATGGTGGGGTAAGGGCGGGGCGGTCCACGACCATGTTGTGGGTGTTAGCCTAGTGGTTCCTGGGAAGGAGTCCGAAGGGTTTGCTAAAGTTCTTTGGTTGGAAGGCAATGACCCTCTTTTTAAGGCTGCTAAGGTTTCTTTGGGTGTTCTTGGGGTTATCTCTAAGGTATGTCAACTTCTTTCACTTGTTTACTTAATTAATTTTTTAATAATTATTAAGTTCAACCACCTTTTTATTATATATATTGATCACATTTTAGGTATATTATGTTTGTCAACAAACAATTAATTATTGCATATTTTTACGGTTAGGGCCAATTCATTACACATTCAAATAAAATAATGAATAAGTATCATTTTGTGATCAGCTTGTCTTATTTGTGGCTATTTATAAGAACAAAGTAGCCCTGACCAAGTAACCCTTGTAATATTAACTGAGTAACCCTTATAACACTAACTGATTAACCCTTTAGCACTGACGAAGTAACACTTTCAACACTAAACAAGTAACCTCTTTTACACTAATAAAGTAACCCCTGCCACACAGTGTGACCAGCCACATAACACTTTGTGTTTTGCGATACATAAGTCATTTTGTGATATGTAGGTCATCAAGTCGTTAAAAGAATAATAAATTATGGAATATGTCATTTTGTGATATATAGGTCATCAAAACAATTATTAAATTAATTTCATGATAGTCTATTAACCGTCATAATAAGGTCATACAGCTAATACCTAAGAACATAAATCAAATTCCGTTTACATTGATACTATCTCTCACTAAAAAAATCATTTAACATGATAGCATGCATTAGACCCACCAACAACGAAAGATGAGAATGCCAACTCATACATAACGTTAGAAGTACTTTAAAGTTTTAACCTTTACAATAATAATAAATTAATAAAGTACTCGATCTCTACAATAATGATAATAAAGAAAGTAGGAATAGCATAAATTTAAACAAAGTTTGTTTGATTGATGATTAATATAGGTGAAGTTATCATTGGAACCAGCTTTCAAGAGAAGTATAACCTATGATTTTACAAAAGATGATGACATCGAACAAATGTACGTAAACCACGCCAAGAAATTTGAATTTGGAGACATAACGTGGTATCCTTCAAAGTATACGGCTGTTTATAGATATGATAATAGAGTTCATTTTAATACTTCTGGAGATGGAATCAATGATTTTCTTGGGTTTCAATCGCAATCTGTTTTAGTCTCCATGGCTACTCAATCAACGGGTGATTTTCTTACTCTTTCGTAATAATTATAATTAAGTGGTCGTTCAGTTGACTTAAGAATTTGTAATTTTAAAGAATACATTAGAATTTTCATGAAGTATTATGATCTTTCTTGAACAACATTTGTTCTGTAGGATGATACTTTTTTTTTTTACAAGACTATAGGATGGTACCTCGTTACCTTAATTGCGTTATAAATAAGAATTTTCATGAAGTGTTAAACATTTGACAAGTAGACTATTTAAAATTTGACTTTTTTATAGGAAGTTTTAGGTTCATGTTAGAGCTTTCATGCTATTGGATCTTATGTTTTGTCTTGAAATAAAACTCAGTAATCCATATGTGATTTTATGCAAATCAAACAACCACAATGTTAACTTTGTGGAGCCATTTTAACAGTTTGAGTAACAAGTAGTACTTGTAGTTGTAGGGGCTTCACCTCGTAACCTAATTGGGTTCAAGGGTTCAACCTTTATCACTTGTATGTGGTTCTTGGGCGGAAATTTTATTTATCCTTCTCCGTACCACAAGGGTCTAACATGCATGGTTGAATTGTTTATGTTTTAAACATTTAATGTAATTGTATCAGTTCACGTCTCACTTGCACATTATTATTATTATACATATGCTAATATTTTATTTTATTTTTCGAATTTCGTGATTTATGTAGAAAAAACATTTGAAAATAGCAAAGATGAGAAAGGCAAGTGTGCAATGGCAACAACATTTATGGCATACAAGAAAAGCATAGCAAATGGATTAAAGAACAACAAATTATTCTTCACAAATTATCCAGTTATAGGCACTCAAGCCAACATACAAGCATCCGGTTCGTGTTTATACTCTTTTCCTCTAAGACTAGACCTTACTTGTGGTTGGGACCCTACAATCAATGGTCTCTCCTTCTATGAAACAACCGCGATTTTCCCTACTACAAAGTTTGGAGACTTTGTTAGGGATGTCAAAAAACTAAGAGACCTAATCACTCCACAAAAACTTTGTGGCATGGACATCTACAACGGCTTCTTAATTCGTTACATTAAGGCCTCGGATGCATACCTAGGGCAACATGAGGACTCCGTCGTTGTTGATTTCAATTATTATCGCGGTGATGATCCTAAAGTCCCTAGACTAAACCAAGACATTCTTGAAGAGATTGAACAAATCGCGTTCTTTAAGTATGGAGCTAAGCCACATTGGGCTAAAAATAGAAAGTTGGCATTCTTAGGTGTGCCGAAAAAATTCCTAAATTGGAATAAGTTTGTTGAGGTAAAGAAACAAGTTGATCCTCGAGGTATGTTTTCTAGTGAATGGTCAGATGAAATATTGTATGGAGAAAATAAAGAAAATGGGGATGGTTGTGCTTTGGAAGGGTTGTGTATTTGTTCACAAGATAGACATTGTAGTCCATCTAAAGGTTATTTTTGTAAACCTGGTTTTTTGTATTCTAATGCTAGAGTTTGTAGGTTTTCACATGCTGAAATTTTAAGTTCTAACCTAGATTTAGGAGTTATATCATGATTATTTATGAATTGTGTAAATTCTTAGTTTTAATTTAATTATTATTTCATAATATATATGATATTGGTAATGCTACAATTTATTCTTTTATTTTCTAGAATTTTTTATTATTTTTTTTATGTTAATCGGTATTTATTTGCTCTATGAGATTTAATTTCTTTTTAAGAGAGTTACAAAGAGTTTCTGTAGACGTGACTTAATCTCATATCTTGATAAATAGCCTAAATTTTAAGCTATTGAAATGTCGATATCTCTCTTGCTCGTCGCCGTCTAGCAAATTTCATGTCCAATACTAAAGCAATCCATGATAATGTGTGGACATAAGATTCATGGGTATAACTTTCATCTATTAAAATTGTATTTTTGGTTTACATTGTTCTCATTTTTTTGGGAACCAGCAATGTACTTGATACAATTTTTATTTCTCCGTCATCTTATTACTGTATACCATGTGAACATTTAAACTATTTGACTACACTAAATTTTAAGGTACATTCTATAGCTAGGGTTTAACATTGTAAATTCTAATTATGTCTTAAAAAAAAATCAAGCGATTAAAGCCACTAATTATTGTAAAGTGGGTAGAATATCAATGCCTCGATTTATAAATAATGTCATTTTGTGTGACTACAAATATCATGTTATACCAGTCCTTTTTTTTTTTTTTTTTTTACTATAATAGATTATGAAAGGGAAATATGATGGTCCTTGACTATTTAATTTATGGTATTGACTTTATAGATTGCGACATTTCCTTATTTTCCATAATGTTGAACATTTAACTGTAATATGGTAACACTAACAATGTATGTCTGCATGGATTGTTTAGGTACCAAGTTAGATTTGGTTAATTAAGCTTAATACTAAATTACAGGACTAACTAACTAATTTATCCATTCTAGGTTTGGCCGTTGTATCGTACAATCAAGGATGAACCCTAATCGAGTTAGGAAATTATGATCATATCTAAGCCTATATGTATAAAATCTAACCACAACACAAATTCTGTTAAATAAAAGTTGAATATTAAATTATTATGAGGGGAAAAAAAAAGATTAATAGAACTACGAGTATATTATTGAAGGTTTAAAACATTTTCATAATAGCTGCGTCGGGTTTAAACCGAACTACTAGTTAACTTTAACAATTTAGCCAAATTTCATTTATAACCTAAATTATTAAAGGTTTTCACCATTTTTAGTCCTGTAAAATGGTCCTCATTTATTTACCCTTATGTTTCGACATTACGAGTAATTAGCTTACAACATATTAACAATACTATATATACATTGTCTTAACTATTATTGTATCATTACTATCATATTGGTTTGTCTTTAAACATAGTTAATTACATCTAGCAAAACGTACATTTATACTTCGTACTTTCTAACTCTTTCCCCAATATACATAGTACATTTTTTTCTTACTTGTCTTGAAACACTATGAATGGTCCTCATACCTGATATAATACATTGGTGATAGATAGCTGGCAAGAAAGGGAAAGAAGAATTTGAAAGCCAAGAGTACAATTGTACAAACATTATTGTAGCCTTGTAGGGGGTTCTTAAAGAGTTGTTCCGTGGTGTATTTCATGTAGAGAACTAGATATCTTGCACGGGCAGTTATCATAAAATATAACTATCTCGTTTACATCATTGTTGTTGGTGACTTTATATAAATTCCAGAGTATTACTCGTGTAAAATAAGCGAAAAAGGAACACATAAAATTTGGATGCTTAGGGCACCCTTTCACTTTTAATTTATTTTTGTAGTTGTACAACATATTTATATGGTTCAAAGCGAATATAACGATAAAGTGTTGGGATACTAAAAAAAACAAGGAGAGAGAAGATGCTTACTTCTATTTTGGTGATGTGCACATGAACAGAATTGTGAATCATTTGAAAGTAAAAATATTATTTACTGTGTTTTGTAAATTATTTGCATATTCGTATGCTTAGGTTGTTGCTTTTTTCACTATTTTTTTTCTTCTAATTTAATCATACTAATGGAGTAGTAAGCCCTTTTTTCCTTTGTTCTATATAGTGTAGATCGATTGCATTAGAGTAATAATTATCCGGTTACGGACTACGGAGTAATTAATTAATCTTATTTTATGACTTTATCTTAATTTATACGTGATGTCGTGATGTATACATCTATAATTTTACACGGAAACAATATTTTTACCTCTATTCATAAATGTTGTTTTCCCTTTTGATCAATTTCATTTTGGCAAGGAATACATGCCCAATTTATTCTTATCCAACTCTCCATTCTTGTTAACATAATTGCAATACTTCAAATGATATAATTATACTTCCTCCGTTTTCTTTTACTTGCAACACTTTCCTAAAAAGGAAATGTCACAATACTTGCAACACACTATAAAATGAAAGTTATTTTAGGGAAAAATTGTACTATTTCTCTTATTTAAAGCACATGGCCCACTAAATTACACTCCTAACAACCACTCATCCTATTTTAAAGTTTATTATATCATATAAACTCCACCTTTCTTAATTACCGCGCTAAAGAGTGTGTTGCATCTAAAAGAAAACGGAGGAAGTAACTCACTTGCATTATTGTTACTGGTACTTGTTAGGGGCGGAACATAGGGTAACTTTTTACCTTGTTTAAGGGTAGTTTTTTACCTCCCCAAAAAGTCGATGTTATCAAAATCTTGTTCCCCTAAAACTAATTTTCTGAATTTCGCCCTTAATTATTGGATAATTAATACTCATATTCATCATTTTCTTTGTTGCCCTACCTTTATACTTTGTCCCTTTGAGTAAATTCTCGTGCAATTTCTGCAAATCGTAAGTGTATGTCAAAATTCTAAAATTATTTGTGCAAATATTAAGTGTCAAAATTCTCAATAAGAACATTACAAAATCAATGACATACAAAAAAAAATCATCGCTATACTTTTTCTATCTACTAATTATTGTAGAAACAATCCCTTCAAAAAAAAAAAAAAAATTTATTGTAGAAACAATCATTGCTAATGAAAACCAACAAAGTGTTAGCGCACTTGGTAAACTTCTTATCTCATATTCTAGAGGTATAGAATTCGAATCCTACCAAGTAAGGGTAATTAGGGATAGGGATTCTCTTAATTTCCCTCTACTCCTAAGTACTTGGCCCGTAAAAACATGGGCGGAGCTAGAAGGGGACATGTGGGGACACTTGTCCCCCCATTTTCAAAAAAAAAAAATTTAAAAAAAAAAAAAATTTAAAAAAAAAAAAAAATTTTAAAAAAAAAATGCAATTACAGATTTACAGTGCTCTGTTGCGACATTTGCCAGCCAGCCAAACCCTAAGTTTTTCAATTTTCAATTTCTCTCTCTTCGATTCGCCCTCGCCTGTCGCCTAGCCGGCTCGCCGTGACGCCGTCCACCGTTCGCCGGCAGTTCGCAGCAGTGACGAGGTTCAACAGCCGCCCTTGAGCCTTCGTCCTTCGTGACTTCGTGTCTTCGTGACTTCGTCAATCGCCTAGCCGGCTCGCCGTGACGCCGTCCACCGTTCGCCGGCAGTTCGCAGCAGTGACGAGGTTCAACAGCCGCCCTTGAGCCTTCGTCCTTCGTGACTTCGTGTCTTCGTGACAGCGTGACTTCGTCATATGCATAAGCATAACACATTTGCTGTAAATCTGGATTTCAATGGAGGTATGAATCAATGAATGTATGATTAATTGAATAATTGATTACTTGTTTTGTTGTTTAAATGTTTAATTGTTTAAATTTACAGTAAATCTGAAATTCTGAATTTCATATTTTTATTACTTGTTTAAATGTTTAATTGTTTATATTTTTATTGTGAATTTGTCATTTGTGGCCTTGTGGGTATTGATTATTGAATAATTTGAATTGATAAATGATTATTGATTTATATTTGTTTGATTGTTTCCCCTGTTAGAGTTTTTGGTTGTTTTTGTGAAATGTGAATTTAAATTATTAATTATTGTAAATTATTGAAATGTGTAGTTGAATTAGAAATTTAAAATCTTAGCCTCTTAGGTTTTGTTATTATGTAATGATGTGGATTGTGGTCTTGTGGAAATTGATATATAATTTTCAATTTAACTAGGAAATATCAAAAGATTCACCAAATTCAAACAAATCAAAGGCAACTAAACAACCCGATCTTCGACAATTCTTGTTTAAAAGAACGAGACTCAATGAAAATGAGTCCAATAACTCACCTTCAGTTAGCTCCCCTCAAAGTCAAGAAAATAGTATGGAAATGGGTGGTTCAAGTAATAGTAATGTACCATTAGAGGAAGATTTGGTGTATGATGTTGAACTTCTTCCTCATGATCCGGGAAAAAGAATAAACATTATGGATTACCCCGCAAATGAACGAAATGCTGTTAGGAGGGGTTATATTCTTAAAAAACCTTGCCAACCAAAAACTCATGTCTTCCCTACAAGACAAGTGTCTGGTTTGCGTCGCTTTAGTGTTCATTGGTTCAACAAATGGGATTGGCTTGAATATAGTATTGAAAAAGATGCTGCATTTTGTTTTGTATGTTACTTGTTCAAGAATGAAGTTGGTATTAAACCGGGGGGTGATGCATTTGTTGATGGAGGGTTTAGGGCATGGAATAAACCGGAAAGATTTGAGAAGCATGTTGGTGGAATTAAAAGTGCTCATAATCTTGCTTATGAGAAATATGTGAATTTAAGAGATGAAAAAAAGAAATCAATCTTGAATGTGATTGACAATGCAAGTGATGTGATTAAAAGTGAATATTTTATCCGCTTGAAAGCATCTTTATCTTGTTTAAGATTTCTTTTGGGGCAAGGTTTGGCATTTCGTGGACATGATGAAAGTGGGGAGTCATATAATAGGGGTAATTTCCTTGAGCTTTTGAAGTGGTTAGGAGAAAAGGTTGAGGAAGTAAGGATACATACTCTTGAAAATGCACCTAAAAATTGTCAAATGACTTCCCCTCCTATTCAAAAGGACATTATTAACTGTTGTGCCAAAGAAACAACTAGGTGCATAATAGAAGAAGTTGGTGATGATTACTTTGCTATATTGGCCGATGAGTCAAGTGATGTGTCCCAAAAAGAACAACTAGCTCTTGTTTTGCGTTTTGTTGATAGAGATAGTGGAAAGGTAATGGAGCGATTTTTAGGCATTGTTCATGTTGCTAATACTACCGCTTTAACTCTTAAAGATGCAATCATGTCTTTACTTGTTGAACATTCATTGAGCCCATCTATGATAAGAGGGCAAGGGTATGATGGAGCTAGCAACATGAAGGGTGAAATAAATGGCCTTAAGACTTTGATTATGAATGATACTCCAAGTGCCTACTATATACATTGTTTTGCTCATCAACTTCAACTAACATTACTTGTCGTTGCTAAAAAGAATGATAGTTGTGGTTGGCTTTTCGAGATACTTGGAAATTTGTTGAATGTGGTTGGAGTTTCTTGCAAGAGAAGAGAAATGATTCGTCAAGATCAAGCTCAAGAAGTTGCTCGAGCCTTGGATGTTGGGGATATTGTGAGTGGATCGGGTTTAAATCAAGAACTTGGTTTGAGTAGGCCCGGGGATACTCGTTGGAGTTCTCATTACAAGTCACTTTTAAATGCCATCCTCTTATTTCCTACAATTATTAAGGTGCTTGTACAAATTGGGAAGCATGGTGCATCGGAAGATAAGTTCAAAGCTCAAATTGTTTTAGGACAATTAGAGTCATTTGACTTTATTTTTGTTGCTCACTTGATGTTGACTATTTTTGGATACACTAATGATTTGTGTGTTGCTTTGCAAAGAAAGGAGCAAGATATTGTAAATGCCATGGAACTTGTCACTTATACAAAAACGGTGTTGCAAAAAATGAGGGAGCGAGGATGGGATACTCTCTTAAACAAGGTAACTTCATTTTGCACTAAACATGGTGTTGTTATTCCCACTATGGATTCTCTTTATGTTCCTCATGGAAGATCAAGACGTTTTGTTGAAGAAGCAACAAATGAACATCATTTTCGGGTTGGAATTTTCTTAAGACTAATTGATTTGCATCTTCAAGAACTTGATGAACGATTTAATGAGAGGAATATGGAGTTACTATTATGTATGGCTTGTTTAAGTCCTAAAGATAACTTCTCATCCTTTGATAAAGATAAGGTACTTAAACTTGCCTCTTTTTATCCCGAAGAATTTTCAAGCTTTGATTTGATGGCTCTTGAATATCAACTTGATGTATTCATGGAGAATATGCTAAATGATGAAAGATTTCAAGGTTTAAATGACCTTAATTCTCTTTCTATGATGCTTGTTAAAACCAATAAGCATAAGACTTTTCCTCTTATTCATTTGCTTATCAAGTTGATGTTGATTCTTCCCGTTGCCACGGCAAGTGTTGAAAGAGTGTTTTCTGCAATGACATGTGTCAAAAACAAGTTGCGAAATAGCATGGGTGATCAACTTATGAATGATTGTTTGGTCACTTTTATTGAGAAGGATGTCTTCTTACGAGTTTCCGACGAAAAGATTATTGATCGATTTCAAAGTATGAAGACTCGAAGAATGAACTTGTAATTTTAATGTAATGTTTATGTAATTTTTTTCATCATTTTGAATTGTATGACTAAGTATATATTTGTATTTTGAAATTTTAATATTAAGTATTAACCAATTTGTGTGTGAGTTTTTTTTTTGTTTTTATTTTTTGTTAAGCTTTTCGTAAGTTAAGCATTTTGTCCCCCCAAGTTGAAAATCCTGGCTCCGCCACTGCGTAAAAACTAGACCAAAAAAAACCGTGAAAGTTGAGGTCTAGTCAAGGTCCTCCTTACCACAAAAAAAAAAAAAAAAAAAAAAAAAAAAAAAAAAAAAAAAAAAAATTGCTAATGAGGAAAAACCTACAACACAGTCCAAAATTCCAAATATGGCCAGTAAATTGACAGGAACATTTCAATTACAATTAGAAAACAGCCAATTGAAGGTTCCAATATAAGCTTTACAGACCTTTGATACATGAATAAAACCTATATTTGTAAATTACATGACCATTGTTACAAAAGTAAAGTTTCTATACTTCTGTTACATAAAGTTACTACATTTTCAGGTTTTATTCAAAAGGTTCAACAAAACATTTTAATTAATTAAAACAGTCATTTAAATTTAAATTTAAATCCAACCCACTCTTTTTTCTCCAAAAGGGTTGCTGTCCTACAAATAGCCTCACCCTAATTTATCCAACAAAAACAACTTTATGCTAATTCTTCTCCTTCCTGAAATGCAACTATCTTGATGGAACTGCTTGACTAATTTATTTATAATCAGAAGGCCTTAAGCTCCATCCACTGTCATCCAAAATGCGCCGATAGTCAGAGTTTCCTCTGCCTTTCGCGCTCTTTGCCAGAAGGGTTATGCCTGTTCTGCCGAATGACTTGCTTCTTGGCGTCTCCTCTAGGCTTGGCTGGTCTTTCACGATGTGTTCCCCTTGGCCTCAGCTCACTTGGCCCGATCATATAATCATTCATCACCTCCGCGCTTAGCTCACTTGGGTTCTGGTTCAATCTGCAAACTAATGTCTCAGGGACAGGAGCAACAGCCCTCTCTTCACGCCTGACATTCTCTTCACGCCTGACATTACCTCTTCTCAGAAAATTAGGTGCAGCATCCGGCATACCTTGCAAAGGGTTGACATAGGAGGGGCGCGAAATGACAGAGATATCCCTCCCATTCTGCAGGGGAGAACCCATTTGTTGTCTTTGAGGTCGGTGGTCTCCACTTTGAAGGGCAAAATGGGAGCTCTCCATGTTCCGCTGCCCTCGCAATGTCAATGGAATGTGCCCTGCAAAGCCTGCATTATTATTCCTGCTAATGCTGGACCCATCACTCTGAAATGGTGGTGAAAAAGGACGGCCTGTGGGAATGGCAGCAGGATAACAAGGATGACGAGAGTTGTCTTGCACACCCGGAGTTCTACCATTCTCCATGAAGGGCTGCCTTGAGCTTGCAGGCCGCACCATGTTTTGAGGGCCCAAGGACAGGGTTGCATTTTGCATTTTCGTTGTATGCATTTTTGCTGCATTTTGCATTAGGGTCAGTAAATGCATTGCAGAAACAGCATCACTGGTATACTTATCAGTTGACCCGCCAGAACTCTCTCCAACGCTATAGCCATTTGAGAAATTAAGGCTCTGCTGTTTTCCGCGGCTAGCAGCAGCAGAGGCATTGAAATTTAAAATGCTGCCAGATGTCTGATGATGGAGTTTCCCTTTATTTAGAGCATTGGAGCCTTGGGGGATCATCTGCGGGTTTGCACTTCCTAAAGGCATGCTTCTTGTCACCACAGAAGGCCATACACTGGAGGCATCAGTAGTATTCTGTCTCGGTGCACTCAGTCCAAGTCTATATGACTCCACTGCTTGGAGAAAACTCGAAGGGTACCTTTGTGTTGTTCCCACATTGATAGTCCCATTCCAATTGTTTAGAGTCAGATCATAGCCAGGGTAAGGGGGACCGTGCTCTCGGCCCTGAGAAAGGGAAAGAAACCTAGCAGATATTGGGTTTTCTCTGGGAAGACTGCTTGGAACACTCTGAGAATTCCTGTTTAAGTCTGGAATATGACCTGCATTTCCATTAGCCATGCTGTTTCTAGCATCAGTACCTAGTGGCGTTCGCATGCTGAGAAAATGGGGTTGTCTGAATTGCCTGCTTTCTCCATATGAACCATTGGTTCCGTTATCCCTAATGCATCTTCCAGAACTACCAGAAGATGATGGATTACGATGCTCCTCTTTACGGTCATCCAGTTTTCCCAGTTCTCTCTCATGTTGATTCTGAGCCAACAGCAAAACAATATCCATGGGTATTTCATCAGTATCACCTTGTTCTGTTACTTTGTCATCTGTTGGGATACTATTGATATCAATATCATGTACGCGCCCTCGAACTTCATTGGTCGGTGCCCTCTGATTAACATCTGAGCTAGTCACCTAAAGATACATAAACAAAATATCATCATTGACAGACTAATGAGAGTGCAGAGATACTAGTCATAAATTTCATTGAAAATCAACCAACAAATAGGAATGAATCTGGAACACTCAAAACTTTGAGCTGGCAACCTCTAAGGGCTCCAACCCGATCCAAAGTTATTGAGAGTAACCAAAAACCAAAACAATACAAACATGCACTATCTGATTTTTCCCATTTGTACTTATATTATAATATTTTGTAGTTAGTATATAATGGTTTGCATAATTTTAAAAATATATAAAGCTTGACCCGAAACCCAAATATAAACACGAACCCAATCCATGTACCTATATTTCCAGCTCTACTTACAATTATAGTAAAGTGATATACAGAATCTACAACAGAGGGGATATCTGTAGGAAAGTTAACTGTGAAAATTGAGCTAGGATATCAACTGATTATCAACTCATTTCTTTTCAACAAATATAAATCATACGATACGTTCAAAAAACAACAGATTTAAAGCAGTAAATGTACTAACTGTATTTCATGCCATAGATAAATTACACATCAAAATTCACTGCAGTTATTCTGCAGCATAGATTCCAGACATGATTAATTGAGCTTGCAACAGCCAACAAAGAAATAGCATAACAAAAATGCAGAAGATTTATATAAAAAAAAAAAAAAGCAAGTGGTAAAAAAGAAGGCACACAAACCTGCAAACGCATATCCCGTGCCAGAGAACTGCCCTCTTCGGCTTCAGGGGTCATGGCTTGCTTCCCCTTCAAATTCGCCTTTGCAACAGTGCTTCTCTCACCATTTCCATCAAATGGAGTTCCTGTATCAGGAGTACGGCCAACAGCAGTAGTCCTAGAATCTACACTAGCCTCTCCAACATTATTTCTGTTATCTTGATGTTTCCTCACACTGCTGCCGTCAACAAGCATAGGTTCTGCCTGAGATGATGAAAGAGACCCATTTTCCCCTGGAAGATCACGCACCTGACTGTTCCTCTTAATAGGATAGTTTCTGGAGAGGGGGTAAACACTTTCAGAAGAAATTTGATCCTTCTGGTCAGAGATTTTCTCTGCATCAACATTTTTTTGGGTGGCTGCAGAGTCTTTGGTATTCCTGTTGTTGCAGGGAATAACAGAACCTGCCTCCTTTCTTGGATGATGGAGTTTGCCTCTCTTCTTGGTCACAACTGAACTTCTCTCAACTAGCTTGTCAGAAACATCACTTTTTTGAGGCAGAATCTCAGTAGATTTTCCTTTTTCATTACCTGCGGATCTGGACATGGTCTTTTGCCGAGATAATGAAGAAGAACCATCATGGTCGATTTTACTCTTCTTGTTCATCTTCTCCTGCAAAGGAGTTCTAGACTTGCTCTGCCTTTTTCCCATAGCCTTCGACATTGTATCCATTGATACATCATCCGAATCAGATATTTCAGTAGTTTCAGTCACCTTCTTGGTTCCATTATTCAAAACCTTGATGTCTATAGATTTTGATCCCTCATCCTGAGAACCCACCTTCATTCTTTTACCATTCTCATCCAGAGAACTAGTCAGAGAAGGGTTTTTCCTTTTCCCCATGGGAGGATTGGGGGGGGTTTGGGTTTTATTTAAACCCAATAAATCGACCAGAAATCGTACCTTAGGATTTTTACGGCGCTCAGCCCCCAAATAATCGTCATCATCTTCACACAACACATCATCATTACTATTAGTAATCATGGGCTCAATATTTTCATCATTTGGAGGTTCTCCACCACTATTAGTAACCATGGGCTCGATATTTTCATCATGGAGAGGTTCTCCACCACTATTTGTAATCATGGGCTCAATATTTTCATCACACAGAGGCTCTCCACTACACTCGTTTAAATCTGGCAAGTTCACTACACGAACTCTTCTGTCATTAATAGGTCCGTCAGCTAAACCAGCTACCTGTACTCCCATATCATTGGTTGGTAATTCTGCACGCCTGTCCTCCGAAGAAGCCTGTGGTTTTACATGACAGTTTTCAATGGCACACTTTCCATTGTGGTTCGCATATCCTTGAGAAGGTCCGGCTTCAAATCCCTCCACTCTATTGTCCTTCTGAAGATCATTGATGACTGCATCTCCATTGCATCTTGGTCCAAGTTCAACTGCTACAAAACACAATACTATCATCATTATCACCAGCAACCAAATAACAAAGAGACAAATAGATACAACTAACAGCCGCATACAAATCCTCAAAGAATACGTAATTATGGAATGTGTACTACCTTTACTACTGGTAGCTAGCCTAACTTCACATTCACCATTAGTTCTCCGCAAAATCGCTTGGCTTGAATCCTTGAGAAAGCCATTTTTCCATGCTGAGAAAAAAAAAAAAGCATACAATCTATTTTAAATTCCCTTTTTTGTAATAGCAAGGTGTAATTATTAGGAGGTACTGAATTTTGGAAACTTTCCTTTCACAGTCTGCCTTTCATTTTAATATACAATTGGACTATATAAATTAACCGCTATAACACAATGGTATGGTACAGGGAGTGTATTTTGAGAATATATACTACCTCCGTTTCATATTGCAACGATTTGACATAAAGTAGAAAGGAAAAATGTCTAATCGTTGCAAATAATATGAAACGGAGGTAGTAAATTGCTTGTACAAATATTAAAGAAAGGAAGAGTCGAGCATTCAGGAAACCTGAGGGGAATGTAGGCTCGTCTTCAACATGAGCTTTGCCTTTTCCTTTTGGATCAGCACACACATTGAATGGAGAATAATTTCTGTTGTCGTTTGAATTAATAGAGGTATTAGCTTCAGCATTTTGTAAGCAAGAAGAATTGACCTTTGAGAATTTCCCCACTAGAGACACTGAAGCATCAGCATTTTCTTCAGTCTCATGAGCTTTTTTATTAGCAACACGAGTTTCTGGGACACAACTCACACACTTCCACCACTTAAACTTGGGAACTACCATAGGTGGCAACTCCATAGACAGTGGTTCGGTGGAGTCCTTCAGAGAAAATGGATAGCAAAGTTTTGGATCCCTTTTGCGTACTTCTGATACATATCCACTGCAGAAAACAATATAAGAAACTTTAGACCAGTAATATTTATAAAACAAAATGCAGCCAACTGAAACTATAAATGTAAACGAGCTGGCGTGTGCTAGAAGACACATACAATCTTTAAATAATAATGACTAACAGAAAATTGAGTAGAACAAATATGTAGCTTGTTATCATTAGTTTCGTCGGTTTTTCAGTAGGCATCAGTTACATGCAGACAAGGCACCAGAAAACATGCTGATTTCATGCTGCAAAGCAATAAATAACCTAATCCGTAACTTATGCAACCTTCTGCAATATAATAGTACTCGAATTTTACTTGGAAGAGCAAAAGAAGTATAATAGATCATAAAGTCATTACTGAAGAAAACCACAGTTGAAGGCCAAAAGATAACTAAAAGCCTGAACTGCTTGAATTTTACCGTATGGAAAAATGGCTGCACTTTGCTGTAACCTCGCCGTTTTTCTCAGCAGTAGGTCTATTTAGAGGTAACACATTCATTCGAGCAGGCGGTTTTGTGGATTTGGTAGCAAGACTAGAGTCACTTAGCTGATTTAACTCCCCAACAGCACTAGCCATGTCGAATTGTCCAAACTTACATAAGCTAAACCTTCAGAAGTTTCTTGATGAGATTCCTATAACCAAGTAAGAAAACAAAGCCTTAGATATTGAAGATTCACCAGGAAAGTACTAAACAGTAAGTTTACTACGACTCCATTGTCATGAACTCGTGAAGAAAGAAGTATGTTGAAGAGGTTATTTGCACCCAGAAACATACACAAGTTTTTAATTGTATCATAAAGATACAACAATTGTTTGGTAATCCAAGATATCAAAGGAATTCATTGGTATTAATTGAGTTTGAATTATTAGTCTCTAAGTCAATAATGTAGTCAAAGGGTTTAACAATAATTGACATTAATTGAAGAAGATCACATAATCAAACAAATATGGTAGAAAAAAATTACTTCCTTTTCTCTCTTATATGGAAATCAAAACAACATCTTGGACCATCATTTGATTACATGTGAACTTGAATCATATTAGACTAGTGATATATACATGACTCATAGACTAGGAAATTATAAACTTCGGTATATAAGATTAATTTTTACATTCGCGACAATAGTAGTGTTAACAATCAAAGACATCCTCTATGATCAAATTCGGTATCAATCAAGAATATCAAAGAAATCCCCACATGAAATCATAGACGAAAAATTAAGGAAAAGGCCCTATTCTAGAAAAGTAAATTAAAATCAAAAGCTAACACGATGTGAATGTTGAAAAATCATAGAAAAGAGCCATAAACATTACAAGTTTGAAAATGAAATAAAATGTGTGGCCCGACCCCCTCAATTAGTGGCTTGACCTATGAATAGCACATATGATATGACAGCGGAGCGCCACACTAACAAATAGAGCCTTCAATTGAGGGACTAAATCAAGTTTAATAGATTTAAAGCAATTAAAAGAAGCTTAAAACTATATGATGAACCCAATCAAATGAATTCAACAATGAAAAGTACAAACCCTAGATCTCAAATGATAGGCAAAATTGATACCAACCACCACAAAATCCTAACAAATTCTCCGATGATTATCAAATTAATGTAAGTGACTAATCAAGCAACCAACAAGTGAAATGAATTGAAAATCTTATCGATTTCGATTCGATAAGGTAATTAGGGTTTTATTGAAATGAAAAAGGAACCATTTTTCACATAAAATATAAAAACCATTGAATTATCCAAAATTGAGAACACCCCAAAAACCCAGTTCACACAACAAAGTTTTAGCCTCATTAGTCAGAGAAAGGTGTCAACTTTAATACTAGATTATCAAAAACTTAGGGTTATAACCCAATTACCCAGAAAATATAATAAAATCTAGGGTTTCCCACAAAAAAAAAATGTTGGTCCAAAATAATAATTATTTTTATCATCATCATCAATAAATTTACTGAATTTACATTTTCAATAGGAAAAATAAAAGTTTAATAGCAAAGAAAAATAGTACAAACTACCAAACAAAATAAAATTAGTAAAGTTACAATCTTTAATCCCAAAAAAACATGGAAAAAAATATATAAAAAAAAGATGAGTTTAGCTAAATTAACAAAATTGATAATCAAATGAACAAAAACCCAAAAGAGGAGAGAGAAAATCTGACCTGGGTCAGCTGAGAAATGAGGCAAAAATCAATCGGGTCGGGTTGTCGGGCTTGACTTGGATCTGAAACGGCGCCGTTTAGAGTTGTTCCATCATCTACTGACTCAAAGGTGAGAGCTTTAATTAATTAAGACGAGATGAGATTAAACAAGGTGTTTTTCTGAATTTGAGAGAGAAATTATTGCTAAAAACCCTAACTTTTTTATGGGTTTAATTTTATTTTTGTTGGGTTTTAATTTAGAGATGAGGTTTCGATTCTCCAAAGAGGAGAGAGAAAATGAGAAAGAGAGAGAGAAAGTATAGTGAGAGAAATGGAGAGACTGAAAATGAGATAAAGAGAGAGAAAATGGGGGGTAAGAGAGAGAAAATAAAGAAAAGAAAGAAAGAGGCTTCTATCCTTTTTTTTATTTATTTTTTTTAAGTCTAGTTGATGTTGTTTGTCCTTGAAAGGTGGTTTTGTTGTATTGAACTACACACATCTCTATGTCCCCATCTAACCCTCCTTTTTCCATTTATTTATATTCCAAAATTTATTACCCGATCGAATATTATTGCAAGTCCGTCTCACTTATGGATTACGGTTTCTGACTTTGTATATACCCTTTGTGTGCCATAAACTAATTTTTTTTTTCCCTCAAAAATGACATATCATCATTTAATAAATCAAGGGGTAAGTAATGAAAAAAAAATGTTATGTTTTGATGTATTTTTTTATTATTAAAAAATTTGATAGGACATGTCATGTTTAATGGATCATACCATACATGTTTTTAAGAGAGAGAAAGAGAAAAGAGAAGAAAAGGAAAAAAGAAAAGAAAAGGTGTCAACTATTCAATTTTCTCTCTCTATCTGGCTACTACTGTGCTACCCTTAGCTAGTGCGTTCTTATCACAATCCATTTAATTTTAATTTTTAAAAATAATAATATAATTTATTTATTTATTTATTTAAAAAGTAAATTTAATTGAGTGAAGAAATGAGAAAAAAAAAAAACCCTAGAAAGTGCATTGCACGCGCCATCTTGTCAGAGTTTTGGCATTAGATGCCACACATCCCACAAATCAGGTACATGATTGGAGCGTGAGTGGAACGTGCTTTTGGGGAGAAGAAATAAGGGTGTGAGAAAAAAATGTTGGGTTGGTTTGTCCCACCAACCCTAGATATTTAAGGTAAAAAAACCCTAAATTTGTGGCAAGTGAAATCTAACCCTAAAACCTGGGGCCTTTAAATAGGGTATATGTTAATTTTTTTACTGTTGAATTTATTGGGGTAAAAAAAAATTACTTGTATATTTTTAAAAAGGTGGTAAATATATTTTGGGTGTGAGTGAAAAAATATTTTTTAAAAAACAAAAAAGTAGGGAGAAGTATAAGGTAAGGTCGGCCAACTATATATTTGCATGTGCTAAGTGCATAGTAATTTGGAACTCTTAATTACAAATGTGGTAATGATGTACGTATGTGGGTTTCTTTTTGTGCATTGTTATTATTGTATTCTTATAAGGTTTTTAATTTAGGTGGAGAACTAGTTACATGTCCAATATATGCTAGTGTATGGTCATTTTATGAGATATGAGAACTTGGTCATATACTTGTATATGGTCATTTTTATGTGAACTTGTTATAAACGAGGTTAATTAATAGAGATATTTTTTGGGTGGACATGAACTTTGGATCGGTACATTGATATGAGTAAGAAAATTAAATAAAAAGGTATGTACTATCGTAATACATGTATCTTGTTTATTTTATTTTTATTTTTTTGAATTGGATAGAAACTTCTGAATGATGTAACTGATAGGGGATAAGATCACGAGATAATCACCTATTTGTACAGATACAAATCATCTGTATTATGATATGACAGCCAATATTTATGCTGTAATATTTAATTATTGCAGATTTCATTATAAGTTGTATTTGACACACAATTATGACGTGTTTTTTGTTTTTGGAAACTTTAATATAATCACAATTGATATGATTCGGAATCCCAGAAAATGAATTATGTATGGTAATATATCAAGAAGATGAGAAATAAATCAAATACAATTAAATCTCTATTAATTTGAGCTGTAAATTATAATTCAACAGCTCAGCATACATTATTGTAGGGTAATTAAACTCTGGCCCCACCATCTGGTCAACATACACTGCATGTTAAGCCATATCTCTGCCCCTTCCAGGTCAGCATGGCATACATTGCATGATAACCCCCATCCCTAAATCAGGTATATACACTGCATGAAAAACCATGTACTGGCCCACCACAAGTCAACATATATATACTGCATGCTAACCCCCACCCCCGCTCTTCCAGGTCAGCATGGCATAAACTGCATGTATGGTAACCACCATCCCCAAAATCAGCATATATTGCACGGTAACTCCTGCTGTGCTCCCACCTCATCCTAACAAAAAAATTGCTTTTATTATACCATCCATCCTTATTTGAATTGCAAGATAGTTACACAAAAGTTAAGATCAATCTAGATACTAATATATAATATCTTCAAAAAATAAAATAAAAAAAAAATTTAAAAAAAAAAGAAAGAAAGCACTACTAACCTATACGTTTAATGCATGCAATAATTTGAGTTTTATACAACCTAGTAATTTAAAATGAAGTGTAGATTATGTTAACTTATTTTTAATAACAATTTTAATAAAGGTCATCCCTAGACTATAGTTAGTCTCGTAATTACAACTCTTTTACGTGTTAAGTTGTACACAAACTTTACAAAATACTTCCATGCATAAATGAATGATACGTAGATTAATAATAGATATCTTTATTGATAGATACATTGATTATATAATAAACACGCACGATGATCTCTATCACCGGTTTCATATGTATATATATATGGTAGGATCGTAGATCTAGCTAGTATTACTATGTTATGTAATTATTAATGTATTGATTTTTTTTTCTTTTTTTTAAAAAAACCTTTTTAATGTATTACTTTATAATATCATCATAAATATTCCTTTGTCACAACTACAGCATTAACCCAGAGATCAGCCTAAGTTCTACGAGTTTAAATGTGAACTAAGACTGATAATAATGGACGTAGGAGTTTATACTTCTTAGAATCATGTTCATTATTCAGGGTTGTACATATATTGTGACAAACATTTAATCATACATCCTCGTATTCGCCTCGCCTCACACAAACCTTCTCTTTAGATTTGCTCTTTTAGTAAATATTACACGAAAATTATAAAGTCTAAGGTATAAGTAGATCGATGGATAAGTGTGGATCCCAACTTTAAAGAAAAATTCCGTATTTAATTAAAAAAAAAATATATATATTCGTAGTTATGTATTGGGGTATTATTTTATACCGTGGCCTTGTTAGAGAAGTCAACTGTCACTATTCTTTTCTTTCTTTTTTCTTATTATTACAACTGAATGAAAGAAAATATAATTGGTTAAGATTAATAAAGTTTATAAGATGAACCAAATCTGAAGGCACGTAATATACTCCGAAATTGTCGTTAAATATATAAGTGAATTGTATTCCAATTATGAACGAACTACGGAGTACAACTCAGTCGTGCATGCAAAACTAAACTAAATTGCTACTTGCTACTGTAGCTACTTTAATTAATTCAAATGCATCATATTTATGCTAATTTACTTTGTTTGCTAACATTGATAATGTAAATTTTAAATCAAACTAGTAACACGACAATTAAATTCAACCATGACTATTACCACGCGATAATAAATTATTAATAATAATTAGATGAAAAATTAATTTTACTACATGTATGAATGTAAGTTTACTACACGTATAAATTAAACTATTAATAATAATTAGATGAAAATTTAATTTTACTACATGTATGAATGTAAGTTTACTACATGTATAAATGTAAAGGCGAAATCACCGTGCATATTACATTGTTCGATATGCTTCATAGATTTTGTATCGCTAATAAGTTCCTGTAATCTAGTCAGAAGTTACCTAATTTGCTAACTAACTGAAACGAATTAAAGTAGGATCATAAATCCAACATAGAAATAAAAGAAAATTTCATAAACAGTTGGACCACAATATATAGACTAAATATATACAAGTATATACTATATAACTTATTTCTGTCCCCATATATTGATTGGTATACGGTGATCTAAGTGATTTAGGTTGTGTTCAAAAAAAAAAAAGTGATTTAGGTTAGAGGTATAGATAGAGATTAAAATATGAACCTTGGCTTCTGTAATTATGGAAGGTAGTCCACTTAATTTATTTTTGCAAAATATAACTCGATAATTTGTCTAGAGAGTCAAGTGAATATTGATCTAAGGATAAGATTGGTTGAGGATTTGTGGGCGATTTTGAAAAATAAATAAATAAATAAAAATTAGTGCGGTTATCAATTTACAATTGAAATATTTTTGTTGATGTTTTGTATTTATTTTTATGCTCGCTCGTATATAATTTGAATAATTTTTTGGGATTTAAATAATTAACAAAAAAAAAACAAATAAACGGGGTCAATTAACCCTACAAATCCTAATGATCCTACATTCCTACATATTACCCTGATTGTGTAGTAGAATTAAAAGTCTTGCTCGGATTATTCCGTAATACTTGAATAATAATTTTCTCATGTCTAGTGTTTGTAGACCTTTCTCTTGACGCCCTAACAACGACAATATTATAGTACCTTTTAGTTTATGTTATTTTCTTACTAGTATCACATAATCTATATAAATTTCAATTGATTTATTTGAGTATAAATGTGAGATCCAAAACATGTTGCAGTATATAAGCTTGTGCACCATCAATCATCGTAACTCTATTAAAAGTAACATCATTATTTGTGAGACTGGATTTAGGTCTCCAAACCAGCCGATTCTTTATATAATTATAATTATAATAAGACACACGTTAATTATTTGAAGAAAAAAAATTCAATTCGAGAGTCAAAACTACGATGGTGATACCCTAGAACATTTTTTTTTGGGGGGGGGGGGGGGGGGGGGGGGGGGGGGGGGGGGGGGGGGGGGGAGGGGGGTGTTAAAACTTAAACAAACCCCTTATTTTTATACCCTCTCAATGACATGCATTGATGCATGTGTTCATCAAAGTTGGCCAAATAAACTAATTTGGCATAAAATACCAGTTAATGAATTTGATAAACAAATTTGCCATGATAAAGCCAACCTCTCAACAAAAAAATAAACAAATTTTTTTCTCAAATGACAAAATTGTAAATAAATCAACAATTTAGTATTAAATATGGGTCCCACCATTGTTGACATATTTATGAAAATGCCATGGTAGATGACTAGACATATATGATATATGTTGTTTTATTTACCATGTTATTGCCATTTGAT